TCTGTCTGTACCCTCTCCATGTCTGCACCTTCTCTGTGCCTCTATCCCCTCCTTGTCTGTACCCACGCTGTGTCTGTACACTCTCTGTCTGTACCATCTACGTGCCTGTCCCCTTTCTGTTTGTACCCCTCTATCTGCATCCTCTCTGTGTTTGCACCCTCTCCGTGTCTGTACCCTCTCTGCCTGGACCCTCTCCATGCCTGTAACCTCTCTGTGCCTGCACACTCTCCGTGTCTGTCCCTTCTCTGTGCCTGTAACCTCTCTGTACCCTCTCCATGCCAGCACCTTCTCAGTGTCTGTACCCTCTCTGTGTCTGTACCCTCTCCGTGTCTGTCCCTGCTCTGTGCCTGGAACCTCTCTGTACCCTCTCCATGTCTGTACCCTCTCCGTGTCTGTACCCTCTCTGTGCCTGTGCCCACTCTGTGCCTACATCCTTTCTGTGCCTGTACCCTCTCTGTGCCAGCTCCCTCTCTGTCTGTACTGTCTCTGTCCATACCCTCTCTCTGTCCGTACCCTCGCTCTGTTTGCAGTGTCTCTATGACTGTACCCTGTCTATATCTTTATCCTGTTTCTGTACCCTCCCTGCCTGTACCTGCTTTGTGTCTGTCCCTTCTCTGTGCCTATACCCTCTCTGTCTGTACCCTCTCTGTGTCTGCACCATCTCTGTCTCTGGACGCTCTCCAATGTCTGTACCCTCTCTCTATTTCTGTACCCTCTCTCTATTTCCGTACCCTCTCTCTATTTCTGTACCCTCTCTCTATTTCTGTACCCTCTCTCTATTTCTGTGCCCTCTCCAATGTCTGTGCCCTCTCCAATGTCTGTGCCCTCTCCAATGTCTGTGCCCTCTCCAATGTCTGTGCCCTCTCTGTTTCTGTACCCTCTCCGTGTCTGCACCCTCTCTTTGTTTGCATCCTCACTGTGCCTGTACCCCCTCTGTGCCTGTACCCTCTCCATGCCTGTACCCTCTCCGTGTCACTACCTTCTCTGTCTGTTCCCTCTCCAAGCTTGTACCCTTTCCTGTGCCTGTATCCTCTTCATGCCTGAACCCTCTCCATGTCTGCACCCGCACTGTGTCTGTACCCTCTCTGTCCGTAGCCTCTCTATGACTGTACCTTTTCCATGTCTGTGCCCTCTCAAAGCCTACACCCTCTCTGTGCCTGCACCCTCCCTATCTGTACTCTGTCTCTGTGTCTGTATGCTCTCTCTGTATCTTCTCCATGTCTGTATCTTTCCCAGTGCCTGTACCCTGCTTTTGCCTGTGCCCTTTGTCTGTACCCTCTCTGTGCCTGTACTATCTGTCTGTACCCTCTCCATGTCTGTACCATCTCCGATATCTGTATGCTGTCCAATGTCTGTACCCTCTCTCTGTCTGTACCCTCTCTCTGCACCGTCACTGTGTCTGTACTCGCTTCGATCCTGTACCCTGTCCATGCCTGTACCCTCTCCGTGTCTCTACCTTCTCTGTCTGTTCCTTCTCTGAGCTTGTACCCTTTCTGTGCCTGTATCCTCTTCATGCCTGGACCCTCTACATGTCTGCACCCACTCTGTGCCTGTCCCTTCTCTGTCTCTGTCCCTTCTCTGTCTCTGTCCCTTCTCTGTGTCTGTCCCTTCTCTGTGTCTGTCCCTTCTCTGTGTCTGTCCCTTCTCTGTGTCTGTCCCTTCTTTGTGCCTGTACCCTCTATGTCTGTACCCTCTCTGTGTCAGTAGCCGCTCCATGCCCGTATGTCCTCTTTGTCTGTGTCCTTGCATTCCTAATTAAAAGAGGGGAACAAAGGAGAAGCCTGTCCTCACCCGACCTCCAGACACAGACGTTTCCAGCTGTGTTGTTGGATCCTGTTCACAAACACAAATCTTAATGTGTTTCATTCTGAATTCAGCTGTGCTGAGATGACACTGGGCACTTTCTTAGCTCAGTAGCAGTGGGATGGGAATGGGACTGTTATTCCCAACAGAGTTATGAAGAAGCCTGTGTCTGCATGTGTAGTGGGCTGTGTGCACAGCAGCAAACCATGCCCGCGTTGTGCATTGACATGTTACCTTTCACCATGATCAATCAGAGCCTCAAGATGTCAACATTACAATGTGGCCTGTTCCCTGGTGTTGGTGGGTATAAAATCATAAAATCCTTCAACACAGCAGGATGCCATTCAGCCAATCACTATGGTGCTAGCTCTTAGAAAATGAGTCTTATTGTCCCACTCTCTCCCCCAGCCCTGTGCCCTTCTCCTTTTCGGGTATCCGTAACTTTAGATTTTGTCGCTAGTTTATTTTATAACTTTGGCTTCTCCTCCTTCCTCGGCAGGTCTCCTTTCTTCTATGAGGAAGTGAAGATAAAGTTGCCGTCTGGTCTCACTGAAGACCATCACCTGCTCTTCACCTTTTACCACATTAACTGTCAGCCCAAACAGAGCCAGGACAGTCCTGAAGTTCCACTGGGTTACAGCGTGAGTTTCTGCACTGCCTTTGGCTGCTATTGAACCATTTCTCCCTAATGCACGATGGTAAATTACCATCTAATGCGGTAGGTCAATACCAGGCCTAGGTCAGTGCCAGGCCAGGGTCAATACCAGGCAGGATGAGGTCTATACCATTCTTCCTTTGACCCAGTCAAATGGAAAGGTCTGAAGCTGTTACAAGTTCTATTTTTGTTACAAACGAACATGATTCCATTCCTGTTCTGAGGAAGGGTCACCGGACCTGAAACGTTAACTTTTTTTTTCCTTCACAGATGCTGCCAGATCTGCTGAGCTTTTCCAGCAATTTTGTTTTTGTTCATGATTCCATCGTGAGCTGAGTGCTCATTGTTGGAAAGCTACTATGCCTGTATTGTTGTGAAAACCAGAACGTACGGAGACCACTGGTCAAAATAGGCAGAGGAGCAAACATTATGGAGCATGTACAAAGTGTGTGTAGATATACGTGTACTGTCGGTCTACACAAATCAAATTCAGTTCAGAAATAGGTTCAGGGTTGTTGTGCACGAATCAAAACATTTGTCCAGATTTAAGTTGTGGAGTAGATTTCCGTCTTTACCCTATGGCAATTTAACATGGTCTGAGTGGATCTCAGATCACTGGCCACAGAAAAGAGAATCTCGTGGCAATATCACATGCAGGGGTTAAAAACATCCCAGTTGGTTTTCAATCCATTCAATTCAACAGATGAAATTTGGACACTGTCTGTAACCCCTCTCCCTCTCAGTGTCTCTCCCTCTCAGTGTCCCTCCCTGTCTCTCTCCCTCCCTCCCTCTCAGTGTCCCCCCTCCTCCCTCTGTGTCCCTCCCTCTCTCTCTCCCTCTCAGTGTCCCACCTTCTCCCTATGAATATACCGCCCTGTCAGTGTTTGTTACTGTGAGATCCTGCCTCAGTTTCAATGAACATGAGCTGGTTTAGCCTTTGTGTGGAGGGTCTGGATTCAGTGAGCTCCAGGAGCTTGTTGTGACTCAATGGCTGACTGCAGAGTCGTCACTGTCTCGAAAAACCCAAGAACTATTGGTCCAATTGAAGAATTGCTCAATGGAAACATGTTATACAATAAACAGTGAGTCTAAACTGACTCACTCCCCCTTTATGTTGTTATTTTACAGTAGAGAGCTGCCCAAATCCATCCAGTGGATTAAACTGATCACAAGGAGAGCTGGGTCCAGGTCACTGGCCACAGCTCCAGGCAGTTTGAGTGGCCTCAGGTTGAAGCTGCTTTAAGAATTAGCTCAATGCCCACTGTGCCCAGGATGGGAGACCATCTACCCACTGTGCCCAGGATGGGAGACCTTCTATCCACTGTGTCCAGGATGGGAGACCCTCTACCCTCTGTGCCCCGGGTGGGAGACCCTCTACCCACTGTGCCCAGGGTGGGAGACCCTCTGCCCACTGTGTCCACGGTGGGAGATCCTCTACCCAGGGTGGGAGACCCTCTGCCCACAGTGCTACATGTAGGGCACCATACATGTGGAGTGTAGGATCCTCATATCCATTTCAGCAGTGCAGGTGCTTCCCTGTCCCATATGTTTTCGAGCAGCAGGTATTTAAAGCCAGCATGTCACAGTGTGTTAGCAGGGGGCAATCGTCCAGGTTAATCCATTTGGATTGTCAGTCAGTGATAATGCAGCAGCTGCTCCAAGTGACTAATGGACAATGTCCTCATTCTGCATTTTATTTAAACTATGACAGTGACTATTCATATGCAGGAGTTGGTTACATCACATGCAGATTATATAATATTATACAGGGAGTACACAAAGAATGCGTGATTTAATATGGACATCCTGTTCATCCTTAGATGAAAGGAAGACTGAAAATAAATCTTGGTAATGAATAGATATTACCAGTGGATACAACAGAATTGTGATTCCTTCCTGTCAGGATTAACAGGGAACAGCATGGACAAGTCCTTCTAAATTTAAAATTATTTGCAAAATCACACTCCTTTTCATTTGTGAAAAGCCTCTCTGTTTTCTGTGACTGTTCCATACTGGCCTGAGTTGTAATCTCTCTCCATCCTAATTGGTATCCTCAGTTATTCACAGCAACAGTTACAAAGTACAGTTCATGATTAGAATTGCTTGTGAAAGTTGAAAGCAGAATATTCCAGAAAATCATTAGACTGAGGAATTCAGCTGGAAAGGCAACAACCGATACAAGATAATTAAATGAAGTTGGGCTGAAGTGAATCAGAGCCTCTGCAATCGCTCATGTGTCTTAATTATTTCGTTCCCTTAATTTTTGGCATAAGTTTTTTAAAGTTTTTTTTTAATTTCCAAGAGATAACAGTTCTAGTGCAAGATTGTTGCCACTTGGCAACAGTCATTCTCCAGCTAATAGATGAGAATGAAAAAACATTATTGGTTACTGGAGAGAGAGGGCTGTCGCGTAACTAGAAAGGGTCTTTATTCACTTGAGCTGAGAAGCATAACAGGTGATCTCATTGAAATGTATAGACAAATAGACAAGACATATACTGAAGGACTGTGTGCCCTGGGTCATAATCCCAAGATAAGAGGCCACCCATTTTAGGTTGAGATGCAGAGAAGTGCCTTCACTTGGAGGTTTGTGAATCTTTGGAAGTCTCTACCCACAGAGGGCTGTGGATGCTCAGGCATTGAGCATCATTTATCCATTTTGGACACCATTGAAATCAAGGGATATTGAGATAAGGCAGGAAAGTTGAGTAGATACTAAAGTATAGCTGTGCTGTTATTTAAGTGTCAGAGTAGGCTCGAAAGGTTGAACTTCCAACTCCTGGTCTTTCTGTTGTTATTTGAGGGTGGAAGGAATATCCAGTTGAATCTGTGTTCAGATGAGGGCACGCTTTGCCAGAGTTGGTCCACATAAGCAAGCAGGCCTGCAGGGCTTGGGTGGTGTGGCTGGAAGCTCCGGGCCAGTTTGGAAGGTGTGGACGTGGACAGGTGAACAGGGAGGATATATCTCAACAGACTGCATTCTGAAGAGAGAAAGTCAATGGACCAGAAACATGTACAACAGCTGCCACCTCAAACCACGTTAATGCTGGAAATGTGAGATGTTTGAATCATTAATTTTGTTTCTGATAATGATCAATGTTAGTGATTGTCAAGTTCTAGAAGTTTGATTACTGGCTGAACAAATATCTCCATTCGGGACAAGAGACTGATATTCTGAAATATGTTATCCCATTTCAGAAGGACAATAGATGGTCTAGGTATGCTGCTTATGTTCCTAGGGCATTAAATAGTGATAATTGTCCATCTTTTTAATTTGAACAGTGGTTGCCAATCTTGGACAATGGACATCTGCGCTGTGGAACCTTTGAACTTCCTGTTAATTTGGACAAGCCACCCTTCCTTTATTCAGTATCGCCTGTAAGTACAGAATGACTAAATGTTTATTTGTATTCATAAAACGATGTGTTGTTTACTATATGTCTGTGTTCATCACAATTTGACTGCCACACTTCACAAATCACACATGTAGATCTCCACTTCACTCTTAAAAAAACCATCCAGCTCGAAAACCGTTCATTTGGTAAGTCCACAGAGATTCCCTTGTCAGCTGAAAACATATTAAGGACCTTGCACCCTGACCTCATCCAATGTTTACATCACAGCATTTGAAGCTCATGACTTTAGACGGGCATAGCTTCACCTGAGCAGCAGAACAATACATGACTGAAATGGAATAATGCTCATGTCTCTTTAAATAATCAAATTTAGCAGGACTATTGTCAAAAGAGGTCCACCAGCTCTATGTGTTACATTCAAAGTGCTGTGATTGTGAACTCTTCATTTTCTCACGTTCCTAATGCCTGCTTACAATTAGAAGTAAACTGGATTATATATGTTCGCCATAAAACTTTACAGACCTCCAAATACAAAGTAACTCCATTATTCTTTGAATCTTCATCTCCCATTTTCCATCACTAAAAGCTCATAACTGCTTTGGGACAGTGTAAAATTGGATTATTTGATTTGATTTATATAATATTTTCTCTTGTATAAAATCTTATCCCTGTTCATGTTATTTTTCTTCTGATTTGTGTTCCGCTGAAACCAGTGTATCTCTGCTAGAACTATATTTTTAAAGTTGATTTTCAACCTTGTCATTTCCCAGGGGCTCTGTGAATCCTACATGGATTTGTTAGATTCTGTTTAATGTGACATTCCAGGTCTGTGTTGTTGTTTATACCTGGGATATAAGCCCTACCGTACTGCAACTGCTTAAAGTCATGAAAGTTATGACATTATTTAAGCTTAAAATTCAAGCCTGACTCTCAAATGTACTAATTGCTTCAACATTTGGATTACAAAGCTGCCCCCCCCGCCCCCACTCCCCAATCTTCATATGCTGCTTGTCTTTTGACTTTTCACTGCCATTCGATGGGTAATCCATGAAGGACCTGCTTCTTGTTTAGCTGGGACACCTGCTTGATTCCTGCATCCTCCTTCTGTAGTTCAATATTGTAACAACGGTTAGGCCTTGAGTTTTTTGGCTCAGTGCGGCACCCATTACCCCCTCCCTGGATTTGTGCCTGTCACCTTTTGATAGTTCGGTGCCTGGAAACTGATGGATATGTGGGGATTAGGAACACGTAGAGGAAAGGGATTGGAACACAAGGGCTGAAAGCATTTCAGAGTGGTCTGATGGGAAATGGAAGGTTGGAGATAAAGTCCATAGAGTTACTGCTTTTACCATGTTCCTGAGGGGACCAATGCTGTTAGGTCTCAGGGGTATTCCTCATTGTCACTACTTCCACCTGCTGGGCGTGCTCCTCCTGTTACACATTAGCGCTGGTCATTTACCCAATTCCCACCCACTCTCCCAGGGTCACTGAACAGCTTGGTGCATTTTCCACTAAGTAGTTTGGTCTGGGTCTCCCAGGATCTGACACATCTCTCAACTTCCCTATTCTCCCTTCACACCCAGATCATTACAGTGTTGGTCAATCTCTCCTAATTGAAAAAAGCTGTGATTATGATTGCCTTGTGACCTTTTCTTAAGCATTATGGTTGATCTGTAATTACTTGTCTCCATGCAGCTCCATCATTACTCCATTGGGCACCCTGCTCCCGGTGTCTTGCTCCAATGACCATTTGGCATCAAAGATACTCACAACCAATTAATAAGGCCCACAGAACATTACTTCTCTCCCTTAACCCAATCTGATAACTAATTGGCAGCCAGGACCCGACCAGTTTCTCCACTGCACCATGGACTGCCATATTCCCATCTCAAAAATGATTTGAAAATTGACTATTTCCCCTGACATCACTTTGTCCCTTGCTTTATTCATCATTCAACCTCTGTCAGAGGAAACGTCCTAACTTCACACTTGGCACAAAGTCCATCACTGACGAATGCTCTGCCTGGGGTTCTCCCTTCCCAATAGCATTCCTCACAGTATCTCAGCAACACACTGGGAATGTCAGGAATTCACAACGGAAGATGTGGCCAAACACAGCACCCTTTGCTTGTTCAATGAAACATGCTCATTAGGTGCAATTGATTGCCTGACCTTGCTGTTACTGTGTTTTGGTGATGAGCCAGCAGCTACTGTTTGCTTCTCTGCAGTCTGTGCATGGGGAAAGATTTTGAATAATACAAATCATTGGAAACTAATCTTCACACTGGTATTTCGACTTACAATTCAGGTCTTATGTTGAGAGGGTTCATGAACCCACAAACAAACTGTTCAGCAAATATCTATTAATCTGTGTCAAGTTTGGTCAAGCTTTTGGTATACTTGGCACACAGTTTAATTTGTTGACTTATATTTAAATATTAATGTTATTACCCCCTCTTCAGCTCTATGCAACAGTTACTGTTTTGGAACAGACCATGATGCTGCTGTCATGTGAAAGGTCAAAGGGCACAATGTTTAGCTGAATATTTTACTTTACATTTGATATTGGCCACCACTGAGAACACATGACTGCAGTTCACAGTTATGATTGGCAAAAGTAAAGCTTTCCTACAGCCTGGGTGCAATGGACAGAATAGCCTTGTTCACCACAATGATTTTGTCTGCATTTTATACGTTCTGTTCCTTTGTTCTGGAAGTACATTGTGTCACAGTCTCTCCCTGGACAGATGGTACACAGGTCCCCTGTTCCTGAGAATGGGAGGAGTTTTCTTCCACGATTAATTTTGTTCCACATTGAACATTGTGTAAGCTCTCAGCTGGACAACAGCGTGGGGTTGGAAAGTTGAACAGTATCTTGTTATGTGCTGCCATTCTGTGCAGAGTTGCTCAGTGATTCTGACACTGTGATTCTGAACAAAGTGACACAGTGCTGGAATTGGGTGTCTTGGCCAGGCATCATGTTCAGAAGGGAACCCTGGGGTAACTGTTTGAATAACTTCCCCTGGTCTTTATTTCAGAGCTCGCTGCCTGGCCTGAAGTGGTTGGATAATCGGAAAGCAGGCTTTAAATTGGAGTTACGCCCAGTTTCGACAGTGCATACACAGGTGAAAGAGTTTATAACTATCAGGGCTGGCCAGTTTGATTGCAATTTTGGGATGGCAGAGCAGTGAATATCAATACTGGCTGACTGCCTGTTGCTATGCCAATGAGGCACTGGCTTCAATTTAACGGCATCTATTATAGTTCTTCATTTTTCTGCTTTATACCTAAGATTTTGTACCTGGGTACCTACGTACGCTGGGAATGGTGACTTTGTACACTTTTCACTGTGCTCCTGTAAACCTGTGCTTGAGTACACGCGACAATAAAATCTAGTTTTAATTCTAATTACTGAATGGTTGATCAGGCACAAGGGACTGCTTTCATTCTGCGTTCTAGTCAGATATCAGATATAGCATTCAAATTTCTCTTTATGAGTTTCTTTTAATTTTGTTTGAAGTTATTCAGAAGAAAGATCTGCAAAAGTGAAATCTGCTCTCTCTGTAGTTCTGTGTTTGCTACATCTGATTTCTTGGTTACCTGTATTACATTGTTCTCCGCTCATTGCTGCAGGAAAGGACCCTGGAGCGATTCTTCTCACTGTGTGAAGCTGTGGGTGAACGTTACTCTTTAATCCATCAGACTGAGGCACTGAGCCAGGCCGTCTCCATGCTCAAGCTGGTTTGCTTGGAGGAATTGGTCCAGTTCCTGAACGTGGTGTTAGATAAACTGCTGCCACTGTTACACATGAGCTGCAGGATGGGAGCAGAAGGAGGTAAAAGAAACCCGAACATATACTATATATACACGCTAAATTAATGCCTTCGGTTAAAGGCCATTCTGCACAGCTTTCCCATGCCCAACAGCTCAGTAACATGATTCAATGAAGCAGGCAATTGAACAGTTGGAAAATTCAGAATATGCAGGTCAACTTACCTTCAAATCCTGGCTCCTGTCATTCCAGGATATATTCAGCATCTAAACAAAAACTGAAAGAACTGCAGATGCTGTAAATCAAAAACAAAAACAGAAGTTGCTGGATTAGCTGAGCAGGCCTGGCAGCATCTGTGAAGAGAAATCAGAGTTAACGTCTCGTGTCCCATGACTCTCCGTCAGAACTCTGAGGAAGGGTCACCGGACCCGAAACGTTAACTCTGATTTCTCTTCACAGATGCTGCCAGGCCTGCTGAGCCTATCCAGCAACTTCTGTTTTTATATTCAGCTTTTGTTTTCTTTCTGCCCTATCTTAGCCTCCCATTACCTCCTGTTTTCCAATTCTACTCTTCCTCTCTCTGTTGACCTATGCCCCAACCCTCCTCTCTCTTTCCCACTTTTCAGCAATTTTACACCATCACTTTTCCTCACTCCCTCCCTCCTGCATCTTCTCATTCATCCCTTTGTTTGCTCTCCCTCTCCAGAGAATGTTGACCTGGGTGAGTGTTGGGAAAGATCTATGTAAATGGGGATGGGCCTGGAGCAACCAGGCTGTGCCTCTTGTTTGAGCAGCAGTTCCCTGTTAATAAATACACAGATCTAACAGTGAGCAAAGAGCACCTCTTGGGAGGTGGGTAACATATTGGTAATTGTTTTTTCAGTTTGCACGCCAACTAACCAATGGTCCAGATAACAAACTTCTGCAGCAGTCCATGCTTTACAAGGGTAAGGGCTGTCTACAACACAAACAGCAATCTGTATTATTGAAGGGAAAAGCAGGTGAAAGATTCTTAACATGAACGGATGAAAATGTTACAATGCTGTGTGACATTGGTGATTTTATTATGTACCTTCAACAAAGAGTCTGAAAGCTATGGCCTAGGTTGCTTACAGGGTCTGGTATTAAATCAGAGTCAGAGTTTAGAACCAGGCTGTTTTGGAGCTGGTGAGGTGAATGTTCAGTGCCCTTGGCTGAAAGATCAGTCAGATCTCTCTTTCTACTTTGTGAGTCCAGGTGGATAAGACTTCAGAAATATCACTTATAGAGTCATAGAAATCTACAGCACAGAAAAAGGCCCTTTGGCCCATTGCATCCATGCCTGTTAAAAACAATGACCTAACTATTCTACTCCCATTTTCCAGCTCTTGTTCCCGAGCCCTGTATGACTTGGCATTGCAAGTGTACATCTAATTATTTTTATATGAGGGTTTTTAAAACAGAGGTGAAAATACATCAGGACACAAGAAAAATCAGGATAGGGAAACGGCCTCCAAATTCAATGCAGTTTATCACTCTACATTGAAGCAGGGCTTTGAATGCAAAGAGGATGGAGGTGCTTCAGTTGGATACAACCTTGGTCAGAACCTGTGTGAAGAATTGCCTGGGATTCTACTGAGCAGGGAGGGTCTTGCAGACCTGTTGAGAAATTGGTGGTGAACCCCTACCCCAACCCAATCAGTTTTTGGGTGATGTCATGAATTGGCCCTCTTGGGCCCAAATAGAATTTGAGCTCCCCAGTGACAGACATCTTGCCTTTTACGAGCTGCTGGCCAATCATAGGCCAACAACTCCTCATGCCATTTGGGAACAGTGGCAGTAATGTATCTACCAGATGCTCAGGGTCAGCGAGAACAGAGCTGAGTGATGGTAGATTACAGGTCTTGGGATTGTTGCAGGGAAAAGGAAGAGGAAAGGGGTGTCAGAGTCAAGGACAGGGGAGTGTCTTTGATCTTCCCACCTCTCCCACTTCCTGATGTCAGGCTGTTCGATGGAACATGGAGTGAACAAGAGAATGGCGAAGAGAAAGTGGGTTTATCTTTGTAATCAGGGATAATCCTGAATTACGAGCAGGTTTGGCAGAGGAGAGTGGGGCTCGATTATGACTATGGTCCTGTCAGAAGTGGTGATGAATGCTCAACCAGTTGTCTACTACATTGTCTGCCAAGTATGCCTTGGCCTTGAGGGAACTGGAATGAGAACTGTAGCAGAAAATTTGAAAGCACAGTTGTATGTGACTTGTTGGGGGAGTATTGTTTTTTCTCTCTGCAAGCAGACATAGAAATTGGGCTAGGAAGTGATGTGGGATGTAAAGTGAAGGAAGTGATCAGAGATAAGGTTATCTGCAATTGACACAATGAGAGTAGGCAAGCCACATGAAATAGCATGGCTAAAGATATGGCTGTGAATATGTAGAGAGGAGTTTATATAAAGCATGAGAATAAGAGGACAATAAACTCGAGAGAGAGTATGATAGCATTGAGATAGAGGTTTGGGATAAGAATAAAGGGGTCTGTTGCGTCTGTGTTTGCTCTTTCAAAGAGCAATTATATTCAGCACCTCTAAGTTTTGCCTGTAGATTTGTAAATTGCACATCCTGAAGTACAATCTATAGTAACGTGATTTTGGAGTCAGTTTCACTACATTTTCAGCAGCATATTCCAACTCCTGATAGCTCTGTGATTGTAAATATTTCTGCTCGCCTCTCTTCTGGATCATTAACCAGTTATTTTAAATCTGTGTTCCACTCACCAGAGGGAATCTTTTCCCTCCTTACACTGTCAAAACTTCCACTAGGTCCGTTCTTACCCTTCTCTATTCCAAGGAGAGCAATCTTAATTTTTCTATTCTCACCTAATAACTGAAGTCACTGTTCCTGACACCATCCTCAGTTTAAAGTTTTTGAGAAGATTTGTAGCTCGGGTATTGTACATCCTCAGCATTGTAGATGCCCAGGTTGGCTAATGGGGTTAGTCAAGTCATGTGTTGAGATGGGAGTTGTGCTAGATGAGTTGGGTGCCGTGTTTGGTGTGGTCGATGTATCAATACTGCAGAAATAATCTAACTATGACTAATTGTCCACGTTTTGTTTTTCTTTTGCTTCTGTTACTCACAGCTCATGTCAGCAAGGAAATTTTTGATGTGCTGGTTGCAATTGTGGATCGTCTTCAAAGTAGTGAAGAGGTGAAGAAAGACGCATTAGGCCGAAGCCATTATCTAGCTTCGTATGTTCACTACATGTTCAATATGCCAGGTACTGGGTATAGTTATCTGCAAGCTGTCATATGTTCTTTTGAAGGAAATGGTTGCTGAATTGGTGTTTTCCCTTTTGGGAGAAACTAGAACTAAGGAACACAGTTTTACAGTTGTGTATCTCTTATTTCAGACTGAAGATAAGGAGAAATATTTTCTTCTAGCAGTGTGTGAGTCTGTGTAAGTCTTCTCCAGGGAGCACTGGAGACTAGGTCATTGAATATTTAAGAGAGAGATTCTTGAACAAGGAAGTCACAGGTTGTTGGTGGCAGGCAAGAGAGTGGAGTTGAGTCCATAGTCGGATCATCATCATTGTTTCGAATGGTTAAGCAAGCTCAAGGAATTCAATGGCCTACTACTGCTCCTATTTTGCATGTACATTTGTAGGGTTTGTGTCCTCTCCCCCACTTTTCGTCAATATAATATTCTTTAGGTGGTCCTTTTGATCCATAACCTGGGTTTGTACAAGGAAATTTGGAACAGGAAAATGTAAGAAATAAGAGGAGAAGTAGGCCATTCAACTCCTCAAGCCAGCCCTACCATTCAACACAATCCTGGCTGCTCTGCCCCCAGCTCAAGTCCTCTTTCTTATCAGCTGATCATAATACTCAATCCTAATGTTTCAAAAATCCATCTACATCCTCATACTTTTAATGATCTAATCTGTACAACTCTCTGAGATAGAGAATTCCAGACATTCACTATCCTCTGGGAGAAGAATCATAGAATGTTTACAGTGTGGAAGCAAGCTATTCGGCCCATCAAGCCCACACAGCCCCTCCAAATAACATCTCATCCAAACCCATGCCGACAACCCTGTCCCTGTAACTCTGCATTTCCCATGGCTAATCGACCTAGCTTATACATTCCTGGTCACTATTTGCAATTTAACATGGCCAATCCACCTAACCTGCTCATCTTTGGACTGTGGGAGGAAACCAGAGGCACCCGCAGGAAACCCATACAGTCATGGGGAGAATGTTCCTTCACATCTCAATTTTAAGTGATAGTCCCCTTATTTTGTAACTATGTCCATTATTTTGAGATCCCCCAACCAGAGGAAACATCTTCTCAACATCTTCCCTGCCAATCCTGCTCACAATCTTGTATGTCTCACTAAGATCACCAATCATTGTTCTAAACTCTGACTACTAAGGGCCTAATCTGTTCAGCCATTTTTGAAAAATCAACATGTCCATCCCACAGTACAGCATCATGAATCTCTTTTGATCGGCCTCCAATGCCAATACATCCTTTTCTCAATGTGGGGACCAAAACTGTACATGGTACTGCAGGTGCAGCCTCTCCAACACTCTGTATATTTTAACAGGATTTCCCTATTTTAAACCTCCAAGCTCCTAGAAATAAGGGCCAAAATTTCATTTGCTGCCTTAATTACTTGCTGCACCTGCATGCTAACTTTTGTTAGAACACCCAAATCCCTCTGTGTTGCTGTTTTTTTGAATCTCTCTCCATTTAACTCATAGTCTGCCATTTGAATCTTCCTATGAAAGTGCATGATCTGACTTTCCCCACATTAAATTTCATTTGCCAATTTTTTGCCTACTCATTCAGCCCATCTTTACCCCTTGCAGATTCCTTATGTCCCCATTACAACATGTTCTCCCACCTATTTTTATATTGTCAGTAATTTTGGATGCATTACACTCTGCTGCCGCCTCCAAATCATTAATAAAGATGGTAAATAATTGAGGCCTTAGGACTGATCCTTGTGGCATTCCACTAGTTACCGCTTTCCAAGCTGAAAATGGCCCATTAATTCCGACTCTCTGACAAAAGAGTGTTAACCAATCCTTAATCCATGCCAATGTATTACCCTCAATACGTTGAGCTCCTATCTTGGTAATAACCTTTTATGTGGCAATTTATCACTTAGGCTATTCAGCCCCTTTTGCTGTTCAATTATATCATGGTTGGTGTTAGCTCCAGTTAAACTGCCTTGGTTCTGCATCAATAATATCCCCCCTAACAAAAATCTATCACATCGGTTTTGACATTTTTTTAACTGGGCTAATCTCAGTGACGTTTAGAGGAGGTTTGGGAAGGGGTGCAGTTGACAATTCCAGGATTTCTTTCCTCTTTGGGGAAGAAAGTTTTCCTTGACTTGGTAACGTGGTGATCCCTTTAAATGATCCCAGGCCGGCAAAGTGGTGCTGCCCATAAATGGCATAGAATAATGGTTTATAAGTCACTCAGAGAAAGCAAGAACTGCAGATGCTGGAGTCAGAGACAACACAGTGTGGAGCTGGAGGATCACAGCAGGTCAGGCAGCATCAGAGGAACAGGAAAGTCAATGTTTCGCGTCGGGACCCTTCTTCACTTCAGAGTTCTGAAGCTGACAACAAAATATTGGTTTACTTTTAGTTACTTAAGTACATCGAGGAATCAGATATGAAGTTTAAATATTGGAGAAGTGTCACTCTTGCAGGAAATGACGAGGTGACCACTTTGAAACTGATGTCAGCTATTTCCTTTTTGCTGAAATGACCACCATGTCAATCTACTCCGTCTTTCTTAACATTCATTTTTAGTTCTCCATGAGATCAGAGCCTCAGAGTCTGAGAAATATGCCACACTCAAGCCAGAGGCTACAGCTGCGTTACGGAGGATAGGACTGCGCAGCACCATTGACCCTGCGATCCAACCAGCTAAACCCATGCTGCTAGAAGACAGAGGAGGCAGTCAGAAACACTCAAAGGTTAGACCAATGCTTATACATTTAGCAGATGGATTTGAAAAGCTTCAAATAAGTCATGAATGCAGCTTTTATTTTGATATAATGCATTTATTCCTTGATGACATTTTGATGGATTAAGTCCCTTGAGTAGCCTCAGACACTTTGGAAACATAACACAATACACACCAGGGCATAGTTGCAGATGATGTTGTAATCCCTGAATTTCCTTGGTTGCCCTGAAATGGCCAGTGATTGGAAAATATGAGGTTAGCCATTTTGGCAGGAAGTATAGAAGAGCTGAATATTATTTTAAAAGGTGAAAGACTGCAGAAAGCTATGGAACAGAGGGGTTTGGGAGTCCTCATCCATGCATCACAAAAAAGCTAGCATCTCAACAGAGACTTGGGATAGAGGTGACATTTTCAAAATGGTAAACAGTAACTAGTGGAGTGCCACAGGGATTGATGCTGGGGCCACAATTAATGACTTGGGTGAGGAAAGTGAATTGTACTATCACCAAGTTTGCAGATGGCACAAAAATAGGTGGAAAGGCAAGTGGTGAGAATGACACAAAGTCATCAGATGAATACGGACAGGTTTATCAATTGGTAGATGTAATATAATACGAGGAAAATGTAAGGTTATGCACTTTGTAGAGGAGCTGGATATTATTGAAATGGAGAAAGACAGCTGAAAGCTACCGAACACAGGGATTTGGGAATCCTTGTCCATGAATCACAAAATGCTAGTATCCAAGTTCTGTGGGTAACAGGGAAGGCTCCAACAATACCCAAGAAGATTGTTGGCCTTTATTTCGAAGGAAGTAGAGCATAAAAGTAGGGTGGTTTTACTAAAACTGTACAAGGCACAAAGTGAGCCCACCACTGGAATATTGTGAACAGTTTTGGGCCCCTTATTTGAGGAAAGATATACTGGTATTGGGGGCAGTCCAGAGAGGTTCACAAGGCTGATACCAGGTAGGGAGGAACTATCTTATGAGGAGAGGTTGAATAGTTTGGGCTTGTACTGTTGGAATTAGAAGAATGAGAGGTGATCTTATTGAAACATACAAAACACTCAGTAGTGGACTTGACAGGGTAGATGTGGAAAGGTTGTAGGAGAGTCTGGGACCAGAGTTTATAATTTCAGGATAATTTAACATTCAAGAGGAGGAGGATGAGGAGGATGTATTCAGGGTTGAGATAGATTTTTAGGTCTGTAAGGATTTCAAGGGTTAATGGGAAAAGGGAGGAAATCAAATCAGCCATGATTGTATTTAATGGTAGAGCAGACTCGATGGGCTGAATGGCTTACTTCTGCTCCTATGTCTTATTGCCTCATAGTAAACCTCTGCCAGTGCAAGCCAACTGTGCATGGGTTTCTATGGTATTTGATTCTCAGTGTCCCAACTTCTATAGCTTTTCTTAAAATTGTAGCCAAAATGTGGAAACTTCTTTGCCAGGGTTTTAATTGGTAACACGTTGACAAAACCTAGGCTTTAGCAGAAAGGAAGCCTCTGATCTGACACAAAGCTGCATTGTTAAAGTTGCAAAATGGTCGCCTTGACCCAATCAATGAGAATGAAGGAACTATGAAGTAACTCGAACCCAGTAAGAGAGATAGTCAAATGGTTTCTAATAACACCAAACGTCTATGAGGTATCATTGGTGGAGCACATAGGAACTTAATTGAACAGACAGAGAGACAGAAGCACAGATTCTGAGCAATGTCTGTAGCCTGTAGGATATAACTCATGGCTCTGTGTTATGGCCTTAATTCTCACAATTTATTAATAACTTGGATGACTCCATAGAAAGCCCCAATTCCAAGTTTCTCAATGCCACTCCTAACCAGTGGTTGGAGTTTGGTTATGCAAACTGCAGAAAATAGTGTGTTGTGTATTACTTTTAAATCTGAAATTGATATATTTTTGTTAACTAAAGGTATTAAAGGATGTAGGGCAATGGCAGCTACTTCCAGCTCTAGCTGGAACACTTGGAGAAACCTAGAGTCGAGTGTGTGCATCTCCTACTATTCTTTGTCTGAGCCTGTGTTCCTCTATCATTCTCAACACTGTGTTCCTCAAGCTGTCCCTCACACACACAATCTCTGTCTAATTCTTGCTTCCCCAAAAAATGAATTCTTTTATTGTTTCATTATTTCCAACATTTGTTTTTTCTGCAGTTATTCCATGAAGATTTGGCCTATTGCATTGTGTTAACCAATGGACAAGTGAGAGATCAAGTTTACAGGCATCTGTGGTTTTTCTTTGAACTGTTGGTGAGTTGGTACAATTGAGACCTCCTTGATAGAGTCTGTCAAACCAAGAAGAGAATTTCACTTTTGTATGTTGCTTATCTAACGTGTTTTACTTGAGAAGATTAATTTGAAATTGTTTGTACTTGAGTGTGAGAAGCAATTTTTTTCAAAGCATGGAATTATAAAATCTTACAACCATACATTGTAAAAGGTAGCTATTCACCGCATGATGCTTATGCCAGCTCTTTGAGTTACTCAATAAGCTCCACACCCTCTCTCATTCTCTTTTTTCCAGCATTTTGCTTTTGCTTTGTTAAGTATACTCCATTTGAAAATCACTATGGAGTCACACTTTCAGGCAGTGGAATTTGGATCAGTACATCCCACTGAGTTTGAGAAAAATTCTCCCTGTCTTCCCCCTGAACAAGTTATGTTCTTCATATCTGATAGTGAGAAAGCTTCTTCTTCTAACCCTTCACAATTTTAAACATCTTTATTCCCGTAACTCCATTTGTTTTTTAGGAGCTTAATACCATTGGGCTATTCCATGGAATCCAAAACGCATTTTGCATGTGGCAATGAAGATATTTTTTGGATTTCAGTGACATGTAATACTCAATAGTGATGCTGTTTCTTAGGCACCTGGGGCACCTCACATGGATTGAGCCAGCTATCAGCAGTAATTTAGGTTTTATGGCTTTATTTCCATGGATGTGGATATTGGGGCAAGATATCCCTGATGATGTTTTGTTGGTATGATTTTTCTTGGTATTCATAGCACTATCCAAGTCATTTCTTTTGCCCTGGCACTAACATTTGCATCTGAGGAAGCAAATTCTTGTTCCTGTCGGCAATTTAAAGGCCTGAAGCTTAGATGTGAACCTTGAAGGCTGCAGAGTTCAATGTAGGGAAGTGTATAACAAACTGGAATATTTTCTTAATGGGGAGATACTAGGAAGTAGAAAGTGATTTAGATACCCAAGTCCATGGATCAGTAAGAATTTGGACACAGGTATATAAAGAAATCAAAAGCTAAGGTTTTTTTTTAGCTTTTAATTCCAAGAGGTTGGGGCACAAAATTAGGGCTGTGATACTTGATTTGAATTGAACCTTGATGAGACCATGTCTGCATTTCGAAACCCAGAAATACAGAACTCCCACTGAATGTATGACTTCATTAGGATTTTAAAAATCTACAAGCTGTCCAGTTACTTGGAAAAGACAGTGGTAGAAAGATACAATTGGAAATTGCTGTGCAGGAACCCCATTGATCGAAGGAGATCAAGGAATGGTGTAGGGACTTTGAGAGTGGCAGTGAGGTAGGAAGATTTGATTGTAGGGAGGGAGGGATCATGTTGAAGGAGGGTTCCTGTAGTTGCCAGACTTTCCAATTCCTGGGATTCAAATGACTCCCAAAATCTGAGGAACAGGGCCTCATTTAAATCTCATAGCTATGGACCTGCCTGTACATTATGAGTCACTCTGAAACCTGCCAGTGTTAAAACAGAAACAGGAGCATTCATTGTTGGTTGACGCTGTATTAATAATGGGTGGTGAAAAGTGGAATATTTCTCCCAAAGCACTAGGGTGCCTGAGTTAATTAAAAGTGATGGAATTTTACTGTACTCTGACAGGAATCTCAGACTGTCCTGGGCAGATAACACACATAGATCACTGTCCAACACTCTGGAGTTAGGATTTTGTGGTCTTGAAGAGGTCAAGATCCTGTGTAGAAAGGTCTGCACCAGAAATTCAAACAGCATTCGCCAAATTCTGGAACTGAATTCTTAAATCAACACAGTGTTTTCATGGGAACCAGGCTCTCTCTCATTATTGCTTGTAAGCTGCAGTGTATTAACAACTGGCATGAAACATGACATCTGCTGTGAGAAGCAGTTGCATTTTCCCTAGTCATACAGACATGTGACTGATGTTTACTTCTGAGAAATAACAGACCATCTCCATCAGCATCTGTAGGGTAAATAATCAGTTTTAGTTAAGAACCGCAGGATGTCAGGATGCAGGTACAGCAAGTGATTGGGAAGGCAAGTGGAATGTTGGTATTTATTGCAAGGGAAATAGGAGTATTAAAGTAGAATAGTCTTGCTCCAACAGTACAGGGTTTTGGTGAGGCAACAAGAGGGTGTTGTGTACAGTTTTGGTCTCCTTGCTTAAGAATGGACCTACTTGCACTGGAAGAAGTTCAGAGAAGGTTCACTAAACTGATGCCTGAGTGAAGGGGAGCAGGTGGCAGAGTTAAACTGACCACCAAATCAGCCATAGCCGCCTTAAATGGCAGAGCAGGCTTGATGGGCTTAATGGCCTATCTCAGCTCTTAGTTCTTACAATTTCATGCTTTGGGTGAATTTCATTAACCAGACAGTGAGCACCCAAATGATTAAAGTACCTCTTCTTTCTAGCGTAAAGGCGTTGAACATTTTCTGATTTTATTTCAGATTAACTACACTGCCAATGAGAACTCAGTCTCCTTCCTTGTCTATTGCCTTTCAGGTTAAAAGTATGAGCCAGTATCTCTCCGACATGGACCGCTGGAAATTTCCTCCGAAACAACGGTTCTCCGAGAGTTACCGCGGCATTGTCTACACGATGGTCAACATTGGTACAGAGTATGTGAAAAACCAGGTAGGTGGGAGCTGATGGACTGAGCTCTAACTGAATGAGTTAACCTCTCTGAAATTCTGCAGTTTATAATGGTACATATACTGGACCAAGTCCAATTTATTCTGGTTTCATCTGGTGATGAAATCTATTCTTGGCATTTGGTGACAGTGCACCCTTCATGATGCAGAGGGTCTCCAATTTATAAACGTCACCTGGACTTACAAACGCGATCACCGCAAGGGTGTAATTTAAAGAGTCAACATACGAACAAGTTTCCTGTACTTTCCTGTGCTTACAAAAAGACTCCTTTACATTGTCCTGCATTGTGTTCTGACTTAATCAACTTATGTATAAATCAACCCAGTGACACTGAAGGAACGGCAATATATTTCCAAATCAGAATGTGAGTGGCTTGGAGAGGAACTTACAATTTGTGGTGCTCCCATGTATTTGCTGTCCTTGTCCTTCTAGATGGAAGTGGTTGTGGGTTTGGAAGGTGCGGTCTAAGGATTTTGGTGAATTTCTGCAGTGCATCTTTTGATAGCACACACTGCTGCTACTGAGCAACAGGAGTGCATGCTAATCGAATGTGTTTCCAATCAAATGGGCTGCTTTGTCTGGGATGCTGTCTAGCTTCTTGAGTGTTGTTGGAGCTGCACCCAGCCAGGTGAGTAGGGAGTACTCCATCACACTCCTGACTTGTGCCCTGTAGATGATGATCAGGTTTTGGAGAGTCAGGAGATGAGTTTACTTGGTGCAGTATTCCTAGTTTCTGACCTGATTTTGTTGTCACTGTGTTCATGAGGCAAATCTGGTTGAGTTCATTGGTAACCCCAATCAAGGATGTTGATATTGGGGGATTCTGTAATCGTAACACCATTGAATGTCAAGGGGTGGTGGTTAGATTGTCTCTTATTGGAGAGGTTCATTATCTGGCATTTGTGTGGCTCGAATATTACCTGCCACTTGTCAGCCCAAGCCTGGATATTGTCGAGATCTTGTTGCATATGACCGTGGACTGCGTCTGTAGTTGAGGAATTGCAAATAATGCTAAACTTCTCATTAGCAAAAATCCTCACTTCTGACCTTATGATGGAGGGAAAATCATTGATGAAGCAGCTGAAGATGGTTGGGCCTAAGATTCTACCCTGAGGAACTCCTGCAGTGTTATTAAGGAGCTGAGATGACTGACCTCCAACAACCACAACCATCTTCCTGTGTACCAGATATGATGCCAACCAGTGGAGAGTGTGCCCCCCAATACCCATTGATTCCAGTTTTGCTAGGACTCCTTGATGCCACACTTGATCGAATGCAGCCTTGATATCAAGGGCTGTTACTCTCACCTCACCTAATGTAGTAATTGAGTGGCTTGTGAGAGGGAGTTTCAAGAACCGACCAACAAAAATGAAGGACTGTGATCTCTTGTGAAGTTTAAAGAGAATTGATGACCCACCGTGCCGTTATTATCTTAGGATAAATGCTGAGGAATCTGTGGAATCTGTCTGATTACATTAGCTAGTTGATGTGAGTTGTGGAGTGTTCAATCATAGTCTATTACCCATGTTTACCACTTGTTAACTCTGGATGTTAGAAATAAGTTGTACATGTACTGTAGATTGTTCTACTGTTCTAGCATTGTATAGTAAAGTTTATTCCTTGTTCAAAACGGTGGAATTTTGTGACTTTACTTAATAAGTCCACTGGTGTAGCTCATTGCTTACTGTAAAAGTCACAGTTACTGGCCTCTATCCAGATTTGACAGTCAAGTTCAGGATTATAACAATCTCAGTGAGGAAGCAGTGACCTCCTATACCCTTGACCCTGCATTTTACATGCTGCACTAGTTCACTTCATCCTATAGAGCTGTATTCCCTGATTGAATTAGGAGAGCAATTCGACATTGATAATTTAATTTAGTTACTCTCTCGATTCCTTGCTTCCCTGACTTTTTATTGGTCGGTTTGTGGGAACATGAAAACACTTTGAATGGCACCACAGATGCAGAATAATGAACCTCCAGGAGTATCAAATTTTGCATAGTTATTAAAGCAGGAGGTGGGGGTGCTCTTATGCTGCAGTGATAGTCACCCTCCCCCTGGACCAGGAGGCCCAGGTTCAAATTCTACTTGCTCCAAAGGTGTGTAACAACGTCTCCAAATGATTGATTAGAAGAACAGGTTAAATTGAAAAAAATATAGAGCAGCTGGTGTGGTACCTCAGAGATGCTGGTAACAACAGATGAGGAACAAAATCTGTTGTTTTTTCACTTAGGATAGGAGTCATCACCTCCAGGATTCAGTAGACACTTTGCACAGCAATGAAGGCCATCATAGCAGGTACTAAGGCACCCTAACAAGGGAGTTAGCGAGGAAAATGAAAGGGTTGAATGTGGCAGAGACAGCTGTTCACTTTGTCTACCTTTCAAGATACTACAAACTGGATACTAATGTAAAATTCACATTTTGCAGATGTTTAATTGTTCAATTTTGCTTCTCCTGTGATGTTATAATTCCATTTGCATTGACCTATTGCTCCCCTCTGTTTCTGCTGATACTCAAGATGGTACGCTGGTGGTTTGCATTTTATGGATGTTATGTTTGTGACTTATTTATTTTGAGTTTGCATTCTGTGAGAACCCTAGTGTAAAGGAGGAACAGTGATTGCTATGAAATGGTGAATGTCACAAGCAGTTGTGTGAAGAATCAGGATCATTGGATTGGTGAGGGAAAGAGGTGTCTTATTCTGTAGGATTTTCCTTTCTTAGAAACTGTTACAGCACGTGGAGAAGAATATTTGAAGATAACTGCTGTGACTTTATATTTCTCCAGGATGCTGAAATCACAGAAATGACAAACCTGAGCCTTGGGTTCTTCCTGAATGACCTGCTGTCCCTCATGGACAGAGGCTTTGTTCTTCATCTGATTGGTCACCACCACAAAGAGGTAACAGTGTGGAGGTTAAATTAAGCCGTTCTTTAATCCAGCAGCTCATAATCAGAACTATCTCCAGAATCAACAAAACCGTGCAGGAATGATGGGCTCAATTTGAGCTGGCCCCAGAGTCATTAAAATTTAAGGAGAGTGAGACTAGCAAAATTGTCAGTGTGCAGTGAATCAAAGTAAATCATTGATTCTTTTAATTTTGTTTTCAGTAAGGTGTATTAACCAGTATAAACAGTACCAGGGATTAAACAACGTCATACCCAACACACCTACAATCATGTCACATGTCACATGTCAATGTGCAGTCCTCAGGATGTGTCAGGCTTTGTGTATGTACATAGAATTCCTACAGTGTGGAAGCAGCCCATCAAGTCCACACTGACCTTCCAAAAAGCATTCTACCCATCCCTGTTATCCTGTATTTCCCATGGCTAATCCACACATCCCTGGATGCTATGGACAATTTAACATAGCCAATCCACCTAACCTGCATATCTTTGGGAAGAAACTGGAGCAATCGGAAGAAACTAACACAAACATGGGGGGACAGTCACCCGAGGCTGGAATCGAACCCGGGTCCCTAGCACTGTGAGGTAGCAGTGCTAACCACTAAGCCACCGTGCTGCCTGTAAGTATGTGACCTGATCAAACAAGCAGTCAACACCTTGAAGTAAGTAATCAGAATTCCCAGTGTTTGAAAGTAGTTTAGGTTTATTATAAACGCTGATTCCCAATGTTGGGTGAGTTGAAATGAATACAACTCAAGAATACAGCCTTCGGTTATGAGATTGGATTTAGAGGGAAATGTATCTAGGGTGAGGTGTTTTATGGTCAGAATACCTGACCACAATTTGCCACACCCAGGCATGCTTAGAATTTCATGTTTCGCTTCTACATGCCAAGTCAACATGGAGACCTTTATTCTTAGCTTCTAGAGAACGCTGCAGCCCAGCCTCATCTCCATGACAGACGCATCAACTTCCTGAGGGTTGTCTGCAGCCACGAGCACTTTGTGACCCTGAACCTACCGCTTGCATCATGCTCCAAGCTTCAGGATGACAACAGACTCTTAGAGGTAGAGCTTCCACAATCTGAAACCCTTATTACCATCTGCAGCCCAAACTCAATACAACCTACACACTCCTGATCCCAGTATAACCTGTACACCTCCTGACCCCAGTATATCCTGTGCCCCTCCTGACCCCGTATATCCTGTGCCCCTCCTGACCCCAGTATAACCCGTGCCCCTCTCATACCCTAGTATAACCCCCACCCTCTCATACCCTAGTATAATCTGTTTTTATTGTATTTTATTGGTCCTATGAGTCTGCCCTGGATCATCAATGTTCCTGCAGCTGATTGAGCAGCTATTCCTGATCCCGACCCAGGCCCAGCCTCCCTCCCTCCCTCCCTCACTTTGTCACATTCAGTGTAACCCCCGCCTGACAATTACAGTCGGACCATACAATACTCTTCCTGTTAAAGTTGCAAAATGTACTTTTAACTGAAAGAGGAACAACTTCACTTTTCACAGGATGCCACTGTTCACAACTGTCCTGCTGGAATGTTCAGTCTTTCCAGGAGATTCCGTCAACAGCACTTCCTGGTGGGGCTGCTCCTAAAGGAGATAGCTGATGCACTGAAGCTGGACTCAGGCAGGTGAGCAAAGCAATGTACTGAGACTGAGGCTTCATCCTAATGTAATCAAGCGGATCAGTGTTCTACCTCACCCCTCTCCTCATCTGGCTCCATTTGCAGTTTAAATGGATGGAAGTGAAGAAAGTAATCATACAAACCTAACAGTAATTTGAATGTAAAGCAACCTGATTGTCATTGAGGTGATTTTAACCATAAGACCACATGATATCAGAGATAAAGTAACCATTCAGCTCCCAGTGTCTGGTCCATCATTGAATGAGATCATGACTGATCTGATCATCCTCAGCTCCAGTTTTCTGCCTTTCCCCCTTTAGCCCTTCATTCCTTCACTGATTAAAAATCTGTCTATCTCAGCCATAAATACACTTAATGACCTAGCTTCAACAGTCCTCTCCGGTAAAGAATTTCACAGTTTCACTCCTCTCAAAGAGAAGCATACATCTCTGTTTTAAATGTTAAATTGTTCTGAGATGATACCCTCTGGTCCTAGGTTTTCCCACAGCCTTTCCATATCTACCCTGTTCAGTCCATTAAAAATCTTTTATCTTTCAATAAGGTCGCCTCTCATTCTTCTTATTCCAACAAGTACAGGCTCAAATGACTCAACGTCTCCTTATAATGCCTCCATACCTGGTATTAGTGTAGTAAACCTTTTCTAGGCTGCCTCCAATAACAGTATGTCTTTCCTCAGATAAGTGGCCCAGAACTGTTCACAGTATTCCAGCTGTGGTTTGATTGATGCCTTGCATAGCTTTAGCCAAACCACCGTAATTCCTTACTCCATTCCCCTTGAAATAAAGGCCAACATTCTATTTGCCTTTTGTGATTCATGGAAGATGACTCTAAAATCCCACTGTTCTGCAGCTTTCTGCAGTCTTTCTCCATTTAACTAAAATTCAATTCCTCTATTCTTCTTGAAAAAGTGCCTAACCTCACATTTTCCAACATTATATTCCATCTTCTAAGTTTTTGCCCACTAGCTTAACCTGTCTGTGTCCCTCTGCAGACTCTGTGTTACCCTTATCATTTGCCTTCCCACCTATTTGTGTGTCATCCACAAACTCGGTGATAGAACATTCAGCTTCCTTACCAAAGTCATTAATATGTATTGTAAATAACTGTAGCCCCAGCTGTGATCTGTGGCACACCACTAGTTACAGATTGCCACCCTGAAAACACCTCCTTATCCCAACTCTGTCTCCTATTAGTTCGTCAATCCTCTATCCATGCTAATATACTACCTCCAACACCATGGGCTCTTATCTTATTAAGTAGCTGAACGTGTGTTATCTTTTCACACACTTTCTGAAAATCCAAGTATCTTACATCTACTACTTCCCCTTTATCTATTCTGCTGGTTACCTCCTTAGATCATTCTAAGTTTGTCAGACATGATTTCCCATTCATGAAGCCACCATGTCTGGACTTGCACCATGTCCTGTTCTCCTCTCACTCCTGTGCTGCTGACCTACACTGGCTTCTGTTTAAGTCACACCTTAATTTTAAAATCCTCACTCTTGTTTTCAAATCTCCCACCTGGCCATGCAGCTCTCTGTCTCCGTAACTACCTCCAGACTAATAATGCTCCAGGGTATCTGGCCTCCTATAATACTGACCTCTTGAGGTCCAAGTTTTAATTGTTCCTTCAGAGGTGACTGCTTGGGTCCAAACCTTCCCAACTGCCCTTTGCCTGTCTACCTCTCTCTCTCTCCTATCTCTCTCTCTCTCTCTCTTTCTGCTCCTTTTAAGGCATTCCTTAAAACCAACTTCTTTGACCAGGCTTTTAGTTGCAAACTGTATATTCCTGATGTGGTTGGTGTCAAACTTTGTTGATAATCCCACCCGCAAAGAGATATGGAATACTTTCTTGTGTTAATGGCCCGACATAAATCCAATTTGTGGTTGATGTTGCATATCCAGTTCTCATCTAGCGACATGTATGCATAGCAAAACATCCTCATAACATAACTGCACCAACAGAGAACTAAAGTAAAAGCAAAATATTACAGATGCTAGAGTTCTGAAATAAAAATAGAAAATGCTGGAGAAACTCAGCAGGGTTTGCAGCATCTGTGGAGCAAACCCTATGTTACTATTAACAAGAAGCATTATGAATAATAGTCATAATGGACTAAACAGTAACTGTTTCTCTGTCCACTACTACTGCAAAACCTGCTGAGTTTTCTCCAGCACTTTCTGTTTTTATTTTGCTCTCACGCAATAATTTTGCAGATTCTCCCATACAGTAACCTAGCAACACACACACATACAGGAAACTAGCAATAGATACACTTACACAGTTCCTAGTAACAGGCAAACATTGTCTTAGCAATACACAAAGCTCATAGACCAACACAAACTCATCTACATATACTATAATGTTTAGAAAAGCACGCAAACATACATACATACATCTGCTAACAAATACACTTGTTTGCACACACTAACTTCAGAGAACATGTGTACATATACATTCAGACAGCTAGTATTATATGCATAGATATGAAATTGATAACACACACACACTTACACAGATTGTACATTGTTACACACACATACACAGGCTGATATTTTTGTTTTGTCATGGCACCATGCACTTTAACAATACAAGTTGCTGCTCACTGTGTTTAAGTGCTATTGTTTCATGCAGATTGATCAGAAGAAAAGCAGTGAGTTTACTTCATAGCCTCCTGGCTTCACATGATAGAGACCCAAGGCTATGGAACCGTAAACTGAAGGTGAAAGTGGCAGAATTGTACCTGCCACTTCTGGGCATCATTCTGACTGCTCTCCCTGAACTGCAGAACCTGTCAGGTAAAAGAAATGCGGGAATTAGCAGGGGCTGTGGGGAAGGTACAAGGAGACTGATGGATAATAACAGAAGTAGAACACATCCTGATTTACAAGAAATAGTGAATAATACAGCTCTGAATCTGGGTTAGGATTTCCTCCTTTAGGTTTCTCTCTCTTGCTTTCTCTGAGTCCTGCGGCTAAGTTGACAATTGTAAGGAGTTCTTCATGAGACTGAGCTGAGGGACAACAGCAGATTCAGGCCAACGGGGAAGCTGTGAACATGGCTGTCATCTTGGGGTGCCAATGTGTGCAGTGGAAGTGTACTCTAAGGTTTAACAGTGAACGATCTGTGTGATACAGAAACAAAGAATGGTTACAGCGCGGAGAGAGGCCATTCACTCTATCGTGTCTGCACTGGCTCTTCAAACGGGTCAATCTCCTGCTTTCTCCCCACACTCTTGCAGACTGTTTCCATCCAAATTGCTATCTAGTCGCCCTTGCTTCCTCTTGTGGGAGAGTTTAGGACCAGACAACATAATCTCAAAGTAAGGGGTTTCCCATTTAAGGCCAAGATGAGGAGGAATTTCTTCTCTCCGAGGAGAGTAAATCTGTCGAATTCTTTACCACAGAGCACGGATCATTAGTATATTCAAGGGTGAGATAGACAGGTTTTTAATCAGTAAGGGGATCAAGCATTATAGGGAAAAGGCAGGAAAGTGGAATTGTAGGTTATCAGATGAAGCACAATCTCATTGAATAGTGGTGATGATTTGATGGGCTGAATGGCCTACTTCTTATGTCCTATTGCCAAAATGCCTTGGTATCACACTCCTGACTGGACAGTGCCCTCCTGACAATACTTCCAGAGCACTGGAGCCAAGATCAAAAGGATAGTGAATCCCCATACAGAACGTTTAAAGGAGAATGAATCTCCGTACAGAAAGTTTAAAAGAGAGAGAATCTCTGTACAGAAAGTGTAAAGGACCAAGTGGGGCAGCAAGGTCAATACATCACAGGCAGCTTCACTCATCCTGGGATACTCGGACATGACAGTGTTTTTACTAAAACATGGTCCTTGCTCCCAGGTCTGGAAACAGAAGAGAATACCAAGCCTGCTTTTTACTGACTAAAGCCTCCTATTAAAGAAACAGTCTAGGCTAATAATATAGATGCAGCTAAGAGGAGAAAAGACCTGCACTTATATAGCACCATTCACAACCTAAGGTTATCACTAAATGTTTTACAACCAATTAAGTTCTTCTGAAGTGTAGTGCCTGTTATTGAATACAAAATAAGTACATGGAAGAGAAAGGAATAGAAGCTTTCACCCATATGGTTAAGGAAGGAGTTTTTGGGGAGAATAAACATGAACATAGATCAGTTAATCTGAATAGGTCATTCTTGTGCTATACATTCTATTTGTGGTAACTTGATCTAAATTTGTTCATGTTTGTGAACATGGCATTGGGATTTGTTGATTCATTATCCAGGTAATAAATTTGACTTAAGCAGAAGTTGCTGGAAAAGTTCAGCAGGTCTGGCAGCATCTGTGAAGAAAAATCAGAGTTAACGCTTCGGCTCCGGTGACCCTTCTCCGGAACGGATGGGAGCTAGGAAAATGTCCGTTTCTATGCAGGGTGGGGGGAGGTGTTAAGGAGTAAACAATAGGTGGGGATAGAGCCCAAACAGAGAGAAGGACCGTTGGACAGGCAAAGGAGTTGATAGTGATCTGGCAAGGAGAGTGAATAGCTGTTAGTGGAGACTATTAGCGGCTAAAAATAAGTATTTTGTAATGGCAGACTTGTGTGATTAACAAGGCCTGGTGTGTTGGGTGTGGGGTTAGGACATGGGAGAATACAGGCCCTAAAATTGTTGAATTCGACATTGAGCTCAGAGGGCTACAGGGTCCCCAAGCAGAAAGTGAGGTGTTGTTCTTCCAGCTTGTGCTGAGCTTAACTGGAACACTGCAGCAAGCCTGAGACAGAGATGTTGGCCAGGGAACAGGGTGGTGTGTTGAAATGTTAAAGTTCAGTTTTTAATAAATTTGACTTGTATGGTTGGCCAGATATTAAGCTCTAGGGCAGTTCAATCTATCTATCAGGTGAAACATTAAACCAGCACTCCATGTGCCCTCTAATGATGGACAGAAGAGATCACGTGTTCTTCTTGATGTCCTGGCTGATATTTATCCCTTAACTCATGTCATAGAAGCAGGTTACCTGAACGTTATCAGATTACTCCTTGTATGGAGTTTGCTATGTCTACATTGGCTGTCGTGTTTTTCTCCATTAATAATGACTATACTTCAGAATGGACCTTATTGCCTTTTGCAGTGCTTTGGGGCATCCTGAGGGTTGTGTAAGTTGCTATATAAATGCAACTTTCTTTCAGTTCATAAAAGAAATGTAAATAAAGTGATGACCAGGGTTTAATTATATTGGTATTTGCAACTTGGAAAAGTCCAAGTCCCAGTGCAGATGGAATAACTTGCAAGATTTTCATTCATGCACTTGCTATCAGTGTTCACGCTGCAGTTTTAGGGTGATGTGGGGATTCTGTGGTCTTTGTTGAACTATTCCAAATAAAACTCCATCCTGTAGAACTAACCATGGTACTTTGGAGTTGACTCCACTAAGTGTATAATGAACCATCATGGTGCCTTTGCAGGAAGGTGAAAGTTAATGACCTCCATTTTCCCATGTTTAGTAATGGTCCCTAAACTTTGTCCTTTTCCTGTTGAACTTTTGTTTTTAGATTCAGATGGCCCGAAGAGTAAATTGACAACACACTATTCTAATCCCAGAAATGCCTCCAGCCTCATATTCACATCGCCAGTGCTGTTGACCCCATCCAGTGCTTCATCAAACAGATACTCAACTCCCATTGCAGGGGTAAGCTCTTTCCACTGCAGGGTATTTTGCTTCAGAGTTGCCTCTCTGTGCTGAATCCAGCAGCTCAGACTAGTTCTAGATCTTTAATCGACCCAGAGGTCCTACAGAATCTAAGTTGTCATACAATTATTGCACAGAAAGAGACTATTCAATCTACTGTGACTCTGCTGGCTCTTTGAAATTGTTGTCCATATAAATCCACTCCTCTGATGTTTTCTGCTAATTTCTTCATTTCATACATTACCTTTTCAAAGTTACTACTGATTCTGCTTCCATTGTCCTTATAGACATTGCAGATCATAACAACTTACTATAAAGTTCTCCTTATCTCACACAGATTCTTTTGCTAATCATCAAAATCTGTATCCTGTGGTTACTGACCCTTACTCCAGTGGAAACAGTTTCTTTTTAACTATCTATTAAAATGCTTTTGAATCATTTTCAGTGTCTCTGTTAAATCTCACCGCTTCTGCTCTGCACTAAGAACAATCCTCAGATCCTGTTCCACGTACTTTGCTGATGCTATTGTTAATAATGCCATTGCCGTACCCACTAATAATAGATCACCAGAACAATGCAGTGGCCTCGATCTCCAGCTGGCTGTACCTCCCATGTGGGTGGAGCGGAGATTGGAATTCTCTCCATTGCAAGGATCTGACCCCGACCTCAGCACATGTTCAGGGCTGGGACAGATTTTGAAGTCCATTTGGCACTGCCTCGGATCTGTCCTTGGAGAATCTGGAGATCACCATCAGTTACGTGGTGTTCCGACCCTTTTTACCTCAAACTGTCAGACTCATTCTGCTTGTCAGGATTGCCTGGATATTGCTTATGGTGAGGCAAAATAACTGAAGAGTATTCTGACATTCGTGTCATTTTCCATTTAATTATGTTGTGCTTGGCTATTCTAGGTCAGAGATGGAATGAATAGGAAATCAGCATATTGAAATGAATATCACTGGGTCAGTTGTATTTTGGGATAAGTGTACCGTGGGACAGGAGACAAAGATCATCAGGTGCCCTGACGGTATTGCGGACCAATCTGGGTGTATTGTAGGATGCTATGTATGTTGTGGGGTGCTGGGGAACATAGTGTGTAGAGAGCCAAACGAGAGAGATTTGACTTGTGTGTCTGTGTGTGTGCACGTGTGTGTGTGTATCTGTCTGTGAGAGTCATGTGTGTGTGTTGGTTAGTCTCTGTATCTGTGTGTGTGTGTGTGTGTGTGTGAGAGAGAGAGAACATCTGTGTGTCTGTATGTATGTGAGAGTCTCTGTATCTGTGTGAGTCTCTGTATCTGTGAGAGAGAGTCTGTGTGTCTGTGTGTATGAGAGAGAGACAGTCTGCGTGATTGAGTGTGTGTGTATGCATGAGAAAGGGTCTGTATGTGTGTGTGTATTTGTATGTGTGTGTGTGCGTGTGCACGTGCGTGTGTGTGTTTGTGCTTTAGATGGCAACAGGCTTGGGTTCACTGTGTTCTACATTCCCCTGTCTTACCAAAACTTAAACTAGGCTCTATCAAGACAAATAATGATTTAAAGTTCTTACGAAGATTTGTAGCTCAGCTTGTGGGTGAGGTTGTTGATTTCCTTGCTGAGCTGTCTGGTTGTAGTTCAGACATTTCATCACCATGCATGACATTGGTCCTGCATGTCATGGGTACAACGTAGTGTACAAAATACTACGCAAGGACTGCCAAAAACATTACATCAGCCGGACAGGAAGAAAACTAGCCATCAGGATACACGAACACCAGCTAGCAGCAAAACGACACGATGAACTTTCCCTCATTTCAGTACACTCGGACAATGAAGGCTGTCAATTTAACTGGGATGGCGTGACCATCCTAGCACAATCCAACCATAGACATGCACAGGAATTCCTAGAGGCCTGGTTCTCCACCCATAATACAATCAATAAACAGGTGAAATTAGACCCCATATACAAACCCCTGCAAAACAGAACCAAAATGACACAAAACACCTCAATAGACCAGATCATATAAATACTGAGTGGAGTAGAACTCCATCGTTTCATTGGAGGCTGCAATGATGATGTTACCTAGCACGGTGACAAAACGTTTGAACTACAGCCAGGCGCTCGGCGAGCAAGTCAACAACCTCACAAATAATGATTTGGATAAGTGGCTATGAACAGCAGCTCTCCTGGAAGCAGCAGGGGAACCAGTGCCTACAGGAGGAAGCTGCTGAGATAGAGCTGTTAGCTCTCCACACAGAACCTTTCCTAATCTCCCAATTCAGAGGAGGTGGTTTCTGAACCAATGGAACTGCCCTCAGTTCATGAGGTGATTCGCTCTTCATGAGGGGCAGCAAGAAGGCAGTAGAACTTTGAAATTGTCCAGCTCCTGTTGCCATCTGAGCATCTGGCATTAATGCCTCCACCTTTTTACACTCATTCTGCCCTGTGAGTTTGCTGCAGTACCATCAACCACAGCCTATCACATGGTTGATGCAATGTACCATTCTCTGTCTTGCAGTTTTCAAGTCCAAGTGCCACTAAAACAGCAGAAGTGACCCACAAGACATTCTTGTTCTGCTTCCTGTGGGTTCTGAAGAACGCTGATGAAACAACTATTAAAGGATGGATGCAGAGCCTTCCAACCCCACAGTTGCTCAGTTTTCTGGAGATCCTTGACCTCTGTGTGTCCAACTTTGAGTACGAGGTCAGAGGACCATATCTTCACATGTTAATAAAAGATCATTTAGCATATCAGTAAATCCAGTGGATTTCCAAATCAATACTTTCCAAATCAATCTTTGAGTGATCCTTCTGGGGAAAGGCCTGTTTCTGATGAGGGTGCCCTGCAATGCCTAGAGGAATGGTAGAGATCTGGATTACTAGCTCTTTGATAGAATCACATGCTGTGGATAAATGGGAGCTTGTAGACAGACTATACTTGCATTTCTAGAGTACATTTGATAAGATGCCACATCAGTGATTCTTTTGAAAATAAAAGCTTGTGGTGCAGGGGGTAACATAACAGCATGAATGGAAGACTGACCAGCTGACAGAAAACAGAGATAAATGGGTCTTTGTCTAATTGGTAGGATGTGCTGAGTCTAGTTCTGCAATTTTAGGCCCTCAGACTTTTACAATGTCCGTCAATGACTTGGATGAGGGGAGTGAAGGCATAGGAGTTAAATTTTCAGACAGCACCAAGGTAGGTAGGAATGTCTATTGTGAAAAAGACTCAAGGAAGTTGCAGATGGCTAGAGATAGGTTGAGTAAGCGGGAAAAAAATCTGGCATGTGGATTATAAAGTGGGAAAATATGAAGCCGTTTAATTTAGTAGGAAAAATATAAAAGAAAACAGAAAATGATTGCAGAATTCCGAGGTGCAGAGGGATTGTAACAGATTTGTATTCAGGTATAGTGCATAATCAGAAAGGCTAATGGGATGCTGTCCTGTGTGACAAGAGGAATTGAACACAACAGTGAGGATCAAAAACATAAATTGCTGGAGAAGCTTAGCAGGTCTGGCAGCATCTATGGAGAGAAACCAGAATTAATGTTTCAGGTTCAATGACCCTTCCTGAACTCCAGCTCTGGGGAAAGGTCACTCGACCTGAAATGTTAACCATATTTTTCTCCACAGATGCTGCCAGACCTGCTGAGCTTATCCAGCAATTTCTGTTTTTGTTACTGATTTACAGCATCCGCGGTTCTTTTGGTTTTTTTTTATTAACAGTAAGGACGCCATGTTTCAGTTATATAGGGCTTTGCAGAGATCACATCTTGAAAACTGAGTACAGCTTTAGTCTCCTTCCCTAACGAGGGATATAAATGCGTTGGAAGCAGTTTAGATGAGGTTTACTGGTTAGACAGGTGGAGCTTCTTTCCCCTGGAGATTAGAAGACTGAGGCATGACTTTATCGATGGTTATAATATCCTGAGTAGTCTTGGCAAAGTAGACTTGGAGAGGATGTTTCCTTTTATGGATCAGTCCAGAACTGGAGGGCACTGTTGTAAAATTGTGGTGGGGTTTCACCCTTCCAAGACAGAAATGAGGAGAATTTTCTTTTCTCTCAAGAACTGGTAGAGGTGGGATCATTAAACATTTTTAAATTAGAGGTTGATAGATTCTTATTAGGCAAGGGATTTGAGGGTTATCAGGGGTTGATGGGAATGTGGAATTTGAAACACAAGAAGATTGGCCATGATCTTATTGATGCCTTGCTGGGTTGAATGGTCTATTTAGAACATAGAACTGTACAGCAAAGGAATGGGCCCTTCGGCCAGGGATGTTGTGCTGAACTTGATGCCAAATTAAACTAATCCTTTCTGCCTACCCTTGGTCCATATCCCTCATTCCTTGCATGTTCACTTCATTATCTAAAAGTCCCTTAAACACTCCTATCAAAACTGCCTCCACCACCACCCTTGGCAGCGCGTTCCAGATTCCTACCACTGTGTGTGTAAAAAATATCTCTTCTGAACTTACTCCTCTCACCTTAAATGCGTGCCCCCTAGTTGTGAACATTTCAACTCTTGGAAAAAGATTCTGAAAGTCAGTCCTAAATCCTAATCCTAAATGGCCAATCTTCTTGTGTTTCAAATTATGCATCTCATAATTTTATAGACTTCTATCAAGTCTCCCTCCACCACGACAGAGAAAACACCCCGAGATTTTCTAGGCTCTCCTTATAGCTCATACCTCTAATCCAGGCAGCATCTCTGCTCCTATGATGCTGCTTGGCCTGCTGTGTTCATCCAGCCCTGCACCTTGTTGTCTAGCATCCTGATAAACCTCTTCTGCACCTTCTCCAAAGCCTCCATATCCTTCCTGTAATGTGACAACCAGAATTGAATGCAGTACTCTAAGTGTGGCCTAACCAAGACTTGTAAAGCTGCAGGATGACATGCTGACCCTTGTACTCAATTTTGTGACCAATAAAGGTAAGCATGCCGTACGCCTTCTTTACCATCTTATCTACTTGAGTATCCACTTTTGGGGAGCTATGGACTTGAACCCCAAGATCCCTTTGTACATCAGTGCTGTTTAGGGTCTTGCCATTAACTGTATACTTTTATTTAACAAAAACAGAAGTTACTGGGAAAGTTCAGCAGGTCTGGCAGCATCTGTGAAGAGAAATCAGAGTTAATGTTTCAAGTCCAGTGACCCTTCCTCAGTACTGATGGTATCTAGGAAAATGTTGGTTTATATGCAGAAGATAGGGTGGGGGGAGCGGGTAAGGAGTAAATGATAGGTGAGGATAGAGCCCAAACAGAGAGAAGAGCAGTTGGACAGACAAAGGAGTTGATAGTAATCTGACTAGGAGAGTGAATAGCTGTTAGTGGAGACTGTTAGCGGCTAAAAATAGGTAATAGGTAATGGCAGACTATGTGATTAACAAGGCCTGGTGTGTGGGGTAGGGGGCTAGGACGTGGGAGAGTACAGGCCCTAAAATTATTGAATTCGACATTGAGCTCAGAGGGCTACAGGGTCCCCAAGCGGAACATGAGGCGTTGTTCTTCCAGCTTGTGCTGATCTTCACTGGAACACAGAAGCAAGCCTGAGACAGAGATGTTGGCCAGGGAACAGGGTGGTGTGTTAAAGTGGTAGGAAACTGGAAGCTTAGGGTCATTTTTGCGAGCAGAGTGTAGATGTTCTAAGAAGTGGTCACCCAGTCTATTCTTTGTTTCCCCAATGTAAAGGAGACCACATTGTGTGCAGTGAATGCAGTAGACTAGGTTGCATTAAGTGCAGGTAAAATGCTGCTTCACCTGAAAGGTATGTTTGGGCCCATGGATACTGGGGAGGGAGGGGGTAAATGGACAGGTGTGTTACACTTTCAGAGGTTGCAGGGCAAGGTGGCGTGAGACTGTGTCAGGGGTGTTGGAGGTGAAGGAAGAGTAGACCAGGGTCTCCCAGAGGGAACAGTCCCTATGGAAGGTGAACAAGGAAGGGGAGGGGATATGTGTCTGGTGGTGGTATCTTGCTGGAGGTGGCGGGAATGGCATCTAATGATCTTCTGGATGTGGATGCTGATGGGATGGTATATAAGGATAAGGGGAACCCTATCGCTGTTGTGGGAGGGAAGAGGGGGGTGAGGGTGGAAGTGTGGGAGATTGGTCAGACCAGTTTGAGAGCCCTGTCGACAACGGTGCTGGCAATCCTCAATTGAGGAGGAAGGTGGACATTTCGGGGGCTCCCTTGTCGAAGTTGGCCTCATTGGAACATATGCGATGGAGACGGAGGAACTGGGAGAATGGAATGGAGTCTTTACCGGAAGCAGGGTGTGAGAATATATAGTCCAGGTAGCTGTGGGAGTCGGTGGGTTTATAGTGGATATTAGTGGCCAGTCTATCCCAGAAAGGGAAACAGGTTGTCAAGGAAGAGAAGGGAGGAATCAGAGATAGACCAGGTGAAAGTGAGGGCAGGGCGGAAATTGGAATCAACATCAGTGAACTTTTCCAATTTGGACGAGAGACAGAAGCAGCACTGATGATATTGTTGATTTATTAGAGAAAGAGTTGTGAGCGGGGGCCGGAATAGGACTGCACTAGGAATGTTCCACATACTCCACGAAGAGACAGGCATAACTGGGGCCACGCGTGTACCCATGGTTACCCCTCTGACCTGAAGAAATTGAGAGGAGTTAAAAGAGAAGTTATTCAGGGTGAGGACGAGCTCGGCCAAGCAGCCCAGGGTTCAGGCCTTTGCTCCAAGAAGAAGCCGAAAGCCCTGAGACCATCCTGGTGGGGGTTGAGTGTGTAAAGGGATTGCATGTCCAAGGTAAAGAGGAGGCGGCTGAAGCCTACAAACTGGAAATTTTGAAACTGACGTAAAGTGTCAGAGGAATCATGGATGTACATGGGCAGGGACTGGACCAGGGGAGAGAAGACCGAGTCAAGGTAGGTAGAGATGGGTTCTGTGGGGTAGAGCTGAAAAAATGAGTCTGCCTGAACAGTCGTGTTTGTAGATTTTTGGAAGGAGGTAGAAGCAAGCTGTGTGGGGCTGGGGGACTATCAGCTTGGAGGCAGTGGTGGGGGTTGGGGGTCGTGGTAGGTGGTGTAGAGGAGAAGATTGCCAGATGAAATGAGGTCAGTGACTGCAGTTGATACAATGGCCTGATGTTCCACAGGGAGATAGGAGGAGGTATCTGAGAGCTGGTGCTCAGCCTCTGCAATGTAGAGGTCAGTACATCAGACTACAACAGCACCACCCTTATCGGCAGGTTTAATAAAAAAAGTCAGGGTTGAATCTAAGCACAAGGAGTGCAGTCAGTTCAGATGGAGACAGGTTGTATTGGGTGAAGGGGGACAGAGAAATTGAGGTGACCAATGTCACATCGACAGTTCTCAATGAACAGATTGAGTGCAAGTAAAAGGCCAGAAGGGGAGGTATCCAGGTGGAGGGAGGGTGTTGAAGCTGGGTGAAGGGGTCTGTGGGACAGGGGGAGGACTCTTGTCCAAAGAAATGGGCATGGAGGCAAAGATGACAGAAGAAGAGTTCAATGTTATATTGTACCCAAAATTCATTAAGATGGGGACACAATAAAAATGAGGCCTTCGCTGAGTAGGAAACATTCAGCATCAGAGAGTGGAAAGTTAGGAGGGATGGTGAATATCTGACACGAGGTGGGGTTGGGGGAGGGGATGGAGACAGAGCGAAGAGGAGGGGATGAAGGTTTCAGAGGACCATGGGTATTTCTGAGTTGT